TAGTTTCGTTCTCTCTCTCTCTCTCTTTCTGGAAGCATAAAAAATAAGATTTCTTTCACTTGCTTTTAACTCGGCTGTCAAGTAAGCAAGTGAACTGTCGGATAATTGAAAAAGATATATATATTTTTTACTGGCCTCTGACACATTTGTGAACCCGTTGTGTTTTTTGTTTTTTGTTTGTCTTTAGCTGGGTGTCTAGCAATAAATGAGGGTTGGCATCGAAGCTGCTGTGGCTGCTTTTTTTTTTCTTTCCTTTTCTGTTTTTGATCCTGCTGACATAGATTTGCAGGCCGAGAAGTAGGCGCTGCTGACAGTTCAATTGTGTGATTGTCACGATCTGTGCCACTTTGGGAGCAAATGACGCGTCTCATCTTAAGACGTGTCTGTGGCACACTCACATCCCTTGGTCAGACATTCCTTCCTGAGAATTTCGGTCAGGGGAGCCCCCAACTTTGAAAACTCAGAGGTTGAATATCGTGGACATATTTTTAGGGGTAGGTTGTCCATTCACATGAAAGACAAGGAATGTGTGTATGTATGTATGTTACTAGTTCACATGAAAAACAAGGAATATATATATACAGAAAGTTTTTCAGACAGACGGTCTGATTGATTGCACCTTTGGCATTTTTGACTGCTATACTGCTATACTTTTTATAATCTCTTTTGCCTTGCAGCCCCCCAACTAGGGGCATTAAGCAGGCTCAAGTTGCTACTGCGATACATTACAAATTCAGATTTGTATATACACACAACCCATTACCCAGGTCGTTATAACACAAAAGACTAATGGGCACACAGCCAGTACCTCAACTACTCAGGATGTTACGAAACAGCCAAACAATCTGCAAACAATAACTCCCACACAGCCAACCAACCCACCTACAGCAACTAAGCCAGCACTCCACACACCCCCCCACCAATATTTATAGAGAGACGGCAGCTCCGATCACACTTTGCTCGCACAAGCAGGAAGCCGAAGACCCCAGCCTGAAGATGACGAGTGGGACCTCGTCAAAACGTCGCCAAGATATTCTCAATCTGACACGGGAAAAGACCCGAATACGCCAAGACCTGCATATATATGTGTGTATGTGTGTGTATGTGTGTGTGTGTTATTAGTTCACATGAAAAACAGGAACCCTGATGATGTCGGGAGAGTCCGACGAAAGCTCGGTTGCCGATAATTTTAAATGTTTTATTGCTTTTAAACTGTTTTTAAACTTTTTAATTGTTTATAAACATTTTATCTACTCTTGGTGATCGTGATTATTTGGACACAATATATATATATATATATATATATATATATATATATATATATATATATATATATATATATATATATATGTTGTTAATTCACATGAAAAACGGAATATATATATTATTAGTTCACATGAAAAACAGAATATATATGTTATTAGTTCACATGAAAAACGGAATATATATATGTTATTAGTTCACATGAAAGCAGGGAATATATATATTCCTACATACATACACACATACACATTAGAGTCAGAGACAAATGACAGATTAATTTACCTTTATATAGGCTATGTATGTATATGTATGTGTGGGTATGTAGGGATATATATATTCCTTGTGAACTAATTATATATATATATAAAACGCTCATATACATATACAAATAGTCCTTGATTTACAACCACAATTGAGCCCAACATTTCTGTAGCTAAGAAGACAGCTGTAAAGTGAGTTTTGCCCCATTTTACAACTGTGCTTGCCACAGTCGTTAAATCAGTCACTGCAGTTAATAAGCTAGTAACCTGATAGTTAAGTGAATCTGGCTTCCCCCTTGACTTTGCTTGTCAGAAGGTCGCAAAGGGGGATCACATGACCCTGGGGCATTGCAACCATCATAAGTACATGCCAGTTGCCAAGCGTCTGAATTTCGATCACATGACCACAGGGATGCTGCAAGTGTTGTAAGTGTGGAAAACGGGCATCAGTCACTTTTCAGTGCCATTGTAACTTCGAACAATCACTAAATGAACTGAGGTAAGTTGAGGACTATATGTTATGTGTATCTGGTATTTTCACACACCCGTGTGCGTATGCACAGCTATTCCTCCAGTTACCACCATTCATTCATTTAGAGACTGTTCAGACTTATAACCACACTGGAAAAAATAACTTATGACTAGTCCTCGCACTTATGGCCACTGCACTACTTGTAAAGCCCTATCAGGAGAAACAACAGCTCATATCAGATGCTTCCTTGCTATAGTTAACCTCACTTGTGAGGTGTTCAAACATCTCAAGAAGGTCTGCTCATCCGTCCTCCTCCTTCAGAGGTTCGTGGGACATGGAGGACCCAGCTTTTCTTCTCCCCTGTTGGTCCTCCATCTTTGCAATTTCCCCCTAGAGTTCAGAAGGCGTCTTCCCTTTTTTGTACTTAAGACGGTGCAGATTTTGAACCCCAGACAATTGGTGCCTACAGGCCCTTCCTCTGTCCCTGTCTGTTTTGGGTTGTCTTTTCATTTGGCTATTATATTTCCTGGGATTTTACGATGTTGTACACGTCCTGGGATCATAGGTTCCAATGGAGCACCATATAAGCCTTGTAAATACAAGTAAATAAATCCTGTAATGGTGTAGGAATTCCTCAGGCTGGCTGGGGAATTCTGGGGGTTGAAGTCCACCCGCCTTAAAGCAAACCGGTTGGGGAATTCTGGGAGTGGAATTCCACCCATCTTAAAGCATGCTGGCTGGGGAATTCTGGGAGTGGAAGTCCACCCATCTTAAACCATGCTGGCTGGGGAATTCCGGGAATGGAAGTCCACTTATTTTAAAGCAGGCCAGTTGGGGAATTCTGGGAGTTGAAGTCCATCCATCTTAACGTTCCACGTTTGAGAAACTCTGGTCTGGACACTGAACAAAATAATCCTAATTTTGGTATGGCTGCTTTCTAGCAATCAGCAAAAGAAACATCTGACAATTTCAGTGGAAAAATTAGCAAACAGCTCTCTCTTATTTCTTTGAGCAGATGCGTTCTTATTTTCCATGAACGTTGGTTTTGAACTCTCCTCCGTGACGAAATTGTGCCCTTTCAAAACCTTCGTGTGGCGTGGAGCTTTAATCCAAACCAAATGCTTATTTTTCCAGATGTTAATAACTCAGGACACAAATAGAATGTGTCCCTTTAAATGAAGGCGGAACCATGTAGAGGAGGCGGGCCATGCCCAGAACTGTGATGCTTGATTGGCTGGCTGGACCTCAAACGTATTTGGTAGCTGACAAGTTTAAAGGCAAACGACAATGACCTGAATGAGATTGATTTGGAAAATCTAAAATTTGGCTCTCTTTACAGCCAACAGGTTATAAAAAGAACCCTGGAATCCAGGTTGCATAGAATTGTTTTGTAAATTAAAGTTTTGGTCCATACAGGGAGCCCTTGACTTACGACCATAACTGATCCAGAATTAACGTTTATAAAGTCATGCTGGTTATTTATCAAGTTGTCCCATGACCAACTAAATTTTTTTTGCCACAGTCTTTAAGTGAATCCACAGTCGCTAAGTGAACATGACACTTGTTAAGCAAATCCATTGCCCAAAATGGACGGGGGGTTTTTTGGTTTGTTTTTTTGTGTGTGTTTTTTTTTTTTGCAAAAAACTAGAAGCAGAAATTGCACACACACAAAAAATGTCAGAAATTGCAGTCATATGACTGAGGGACACTGCAAAATGTCTGTAAATGCAGGCGGGTTTCGAAGTGCCCAAATACACGATCAGAACTTTCAATCTCTGTCGTAAGAACCGTTTTTGGGGGGGTCCGTCATAACTTTGAACAGCTGCTAAGCGAGCGGTCATAACTTGGGGACTACCAGTTTGGAAATATCTGTTTATCTAATTTATACAGCTGCACATCTCACCAAAAGCAACTCTGGGGTAGGAGGCGTATCAGAAATCTGTCACATATCGTCCGACTTACGACCAAAATGGAACCCAAAATTTCTGTTGCTAAGTGAGACGGTTGTTAAGTGAGTTTTGCTCCATTTTACGACCTTTCTTGTCACAGTTGTTAAGTGAATCTCTGCGGTTATTAGATTAGTAACACGGTCGTTAAGTAAGTCTGGATTCCCCCTGGACTTTGCTTGTCAGAACGTCGCAAAACATGACACTGCAACCGTCATAAATATGAGTCAGTTGCCAAGCTCCTCAATTTTTCATCATGTGTCCACAACGGTCATAAAGTGTGAAAAATGGTCATCAGTCACTTTTTGGAGTGACTTTATTAACCTGTTACGGTCACTAAAGGAACGGTTGTAAATTGAGGACTGCCTTGACATGCCAATATTTTTTTTTCCTTGTGATTTTTAGAGCGCTGCTAGGTACAATTTTTTTCTTTAAAAATATGTATTTGAAATCTCTTCCCCCCCCCCCACAGGCCACTTTGCATATCTGTCTCATCTTTTGATTTTTTTACTCCAGAGCTGACATATTTCCCCCCCATAAGCCTGCAGGCTAAAAATAATAATAATAATAACCTGTGTTTTTTTATTGAATACTGGTCTGTTTTTTCCATAAATGCTCCCGTCAGATACAATTCCATCAACTACTTTATTGATCTCTCCTTTTCTCTCTTGGCTGGTTTTTTTTTTTTTTTTTTGCAATATAAGGAGTTAAGGAGAAGCATGCAGATTGGTGTGGTAAGAGCACACACGCAAGAAAAGGAGGGAAAAATTCAGAAATTGCTAAAGAGCGTCCAACAGTTTCTTAAAGCAGGGTTGTTTTTTTTTCAACCTTGGCAGCTTGAAGATGTGTGGACTTCAACTCCCAGAATTCCCCAGCCAGCATGGCTGGCTGGGGAATTCTGGGAGTTGAAGTCCACACATCTTCAAGCTGCCAAGGCTGAAAAAAAAACTGCCTTAAGGGAATCAACCTTTTTTTTTTTTTGTAGAAATGCCTTTCTATACTACCCACCAAGTTTAATCAACTTTTTTTTATTTTATCCTATTTTTGCTTGTTTTTCAGTCTTTCCAGGGAAGTCAAGGGCGAGCCTATCTCTTCAATTCAGTGTGAGTGTTTTGTGCTTTTGTTTTTAAAGTGCTGTGGTTGTTGATCTTCATAAAATACCTCACCGTATAGCTTCTCAGTGACAAAGTTAGCCAACAGAGAGGACTAGGAACTGCAATAGTTTTAACCTTGTTCTGGTTTTTAACACTATCTGTAGCTAGAGGACTAAAATAAAACTTCCAGACGGTGTTACTCTTTGTGGCTTGCCTTGCTGACAGTAGAGAATAACAGAATAATAGAGGTGGAAGGGAACTTGAAGGTCTTCTAGTCCAACCCCCTGCTGAAGCAGGAGACCTTATACCAGGGGTCTTCAAACTTGGCCCTTTGATGACTTGTGGACTTCAACTCCCAGAATTCCTCAGCCAGGCACGCTGGCTGAGGAATTCTGGGAATTGAAGTCCACAAGTCATAAAAGGGCCAAGTTTGAAGACCCCTAGTCTGGATCCAAGCCCGCGGTTTCATCAAAATGGCCGACTGAGGAATTCTGGGAGTTGAAGTCCACAAGTGATCAAAGGGCCAAGTTTGAAGACCCCTGCCTTTTACCATCCCCGTCAAATGGTTATCCAGTCTACTTTTGATAACCTTCATTGATGGAGCACCCACAACTTCTGGTGGCAAGTAGTTCCACCAGTTAATCGTTCTCACTGTCAAAGAAATTTCTCCTTATTTTTAGCTTGCTTCTCTCCTTGATTAGTTTCCATCCACTGAATCTTCTCAAAAACCCAGTTAGTTGAAACGTTGGTTTGAATGAGCTTAACTCCTCATGAGGGTGTGTGGGGGGGGGGTTTGTGTATGTTTTCTTTTTTTAAATTGGGGGGGGCAATGTAGTTTTCCATAATTTGAACAAAGGCCAGGGACCTATACAGAATAGAGTTGTCTTTATCATGGAAACCTTGATAAACTGCCTTACGGCAGTATTTCTCAAACTTTGCAACTTTAAGATATGTGGAGTTCAGTTCCCAGAATTGTAGTCACACTGGCTAGGGAATTCTGGGAGTTGAAGTCCCCATGGCTTAAAGTTGCCACGTTTGAGAAGCGTTACCCTACAGCAAGGGTTTCCAAACTTGACAACTTTAAGACTTTAAAACCTGGCCCTTTTATGACTTGTGGATTTCAACTGGCTGGGGAATTCTGGGAGTTGAAGTCCACAAGTCTTAAAAGTTGCCAGGTTTGGGGACCCCTGCCCTATAGGTATAACCCCAAGATTGCCAATAGCTGGTTCAATGAAAACTTTTCCAGTCTCAGATGCGAGACATTTTCTACAGAATTTAGTTTTTGGTTGAAAAAATTCACGAGATTACGAGAAACGAGGCCACCCCAGGCCTAGATAAATGAAGACGTGACATTAAAAATGGGAAAAGTGACAAGCTACCCCTGTGCGCCTTTCCTATACAGGTCACCCTTGTTTAACAACCACCGTTTGGTCTGGCAACGTGGTCGTTAAGGAGAGTGGCCACTAAGTGGAATCGCGACTCTGGTTTATGACGTTGCTTCTGCTTTTCTTTGCTTTCTGGACCTGAAGAAGGTCATAAATGCAAAGATTGGTGGCAAAGTTAATCTATTTGCCATTTGTCTGAAATGGTATAGTAGGCTTCCTTGATTGAGCAGGGGGTTGGACTAGAAGACCTCCGAGGTCCCTTCCAACTCTGTTATTCTGTTGTTCGTATTTATTTATTAAATTTGTTTGCTGCCCACCTCGCTGCAAGGTGAGGTTATTTTCTATCGTGGTTGTAACTGACAGCCGTAGTTAAACAGGGCAGTTGCTAAATGAGGACTGTATCCAAGAACAGGACACATCTGGAAGATTTCCTACAGATTGTCATGTAGTCTCTCTCTCAACTTATTTGCTAGATTTCTGCCCCAGAATTCCTCAAAGGTGTAGTAGCACTTCCTTCTCCTATTTTCCCCACGACAACCCAGCGAGGTAGGTTGGGCCAATTGTCCCACAGTCATTCCCTGAGCTTCTGGAGCTAAGCAGGGTCTTTCCGCTCCTTTATCCAGCCTACCCACCCAAATATATGCAACGATTGGGAAGTAAAACTCTTAACCTGAAGGACAACCCAAGATTGTCATGTTTTCCCAAACGGTGAAATCTTCTGTGTCCCCCCCTCCAAAAAAATAGGGTGTTACAATGATCCTTATCTTTCGAAATAAACAAATACTGCGTAATTTTGACCTCTTGTGAAATCTGGGGCAAAACCGTGCCAGGTGTGAGGTCCCCCATCACACACAAGCCCTTTCTGTAACATTCAAATGTTTAATTCATTTTATCTGGGACGTCCATGGTTATCTTGGGTGCTGGGTGCCAACCCACAATGTATCCTGACTGTACATTATGTGTGTGTAACCTACTAGTAATAAAAGCATCTGTGAGATATCTCGACATTAAATAGGGTTGTTCTGGGAAACATGCATGATTTCAGCCACCTTGGTAAAATGTGTCTTCAAAAGTGAAATTTTTAATATATATATATATTCTGTAATATACACCCTGGAGCGGTGTTATTATCCTTGTCACAGATTGTCAAGTATTACCAAATGTATTCCAGAGCGGTGTTCCTCAACTGTGGTGACTTTCAAAGGTGTGGAGTTCAACTCCCAGAATTCCCCAGCCAGCCATGCTGGCTGGGGAATTCTGGGAGTTGAAGTCCTCCCATCTTAAAGCGATCAAATTGCTCTGGCATATATTTGGGTAATATTTGACAATTCTGTGACAAGGATAATCACTTGCTCCTTCAGGGAAATTAACTTGGAAATCTCTTTATATTTAAAAATTAAGCTTTTCTCTCTCTCTCTCTCTCTTCCCACCCCCTTGTTACCCTCAGAGTCAACGTGGGCTGCGGTCCGGCGGAGGAGCGAATTCTGCTAACGGGACTCCATGCGGTGGCTGATATTTACTGTGAAAATTGCAAAACCACACTGGGTTGGAAATATGTGAGTGGTGATGATTAGCTTCTTATTCTGTTATCAGATTTTTTATAATAATAATAATAATAATAGTAGTAATAATAATAATAATAATAATAATAATAATAATAATAATAATAATAATAAAGTTGGAAGGGACTTTGGAGGTCATCTAGTCCAGCCCCCTGCTCAGGCAGGAAACCCTACGCCATTTCAGACAAATGGCTGTCCAATCTCTTCTTAAAAACCTCCAGTGATGGAGCGCCCACAACGTCTGGTGGCAAGCTGTTCCACTGGTTAATTATCCTCACTGTTAGGAGGTTTCTCCTCAGTTCCAGGTTGCTTCTCTCCTTGATTAGTTTCCATCCATTGCTTGTTCTCCTGCCTTCAGCCGCTTTGGAGAATAGCTTGACTGCCTCTTCTTTGGGGCAGCCCCCTTTTTTTTTTTGCCCTGAGACCCTGGCTTTCAACCTGCAGGGAGTCGGTACACTTGGTCCTCGAGTTACGATCCCAGCTGAGCCCAGAATTCATGTTGCAAAGTGAGGAATTTGTTAAGTGAGTTTTGCCCCCTTTTACGACCTTTTTTGCCTCAGTTGTTAAGTGAATCACTGCAGCTGTTAAGTTAGTCACATGGTCGTTAAGTAAATCTGACTTCCCCCATTGACTTTGTTGGTCAAAAGGTTGCAAAAGGGGGTCACGTGACCCTGGGACTCTTCAACTGTCATAAATATGAGTCACTTGCCAATCATCTGAATTTTGATCCACGTGACCACGGGGATGCTGCAACGGTCATATAAGTGTGAAAAACGGTCCTAAGTTACTTTTTTCAGTGCCATTGTAACTTTGAACAGTCGCTAAATCAACTGTTATAAGCCGAGGACAACCTGTGCTTAATTTTCTCTGATTGTTTCCAAGGAGCTACAGTAGTGGCCAAAATTGTGGAAACCTTTTGGGAAAAGTGTACAGTAGAAACGCCACCTTTGGTTAAGTTTCCACCAATTTTTCCTTCTAATTTCTTTATAACTGTAGCCTTGTTCACTTAATAATTCTATTTTGCATGGCTTTCTGGGCGACCAGTCAATTCTTTGCACCATTTAATTTTATTACGTTTTACAAGCTCACTAAGTGAAAGAACACAAAAAAACCCAACCAACTTGATAGCGATCACATAACACACTGACAAATGTCCTCCTCTCAGCTTCAATACATGACATCAATAACTGGATCCTGCTGTGATCTGATTGGCTCATGGCCAAAACAAGATGACACCCGATTGGCTCTCTAAACACTCGTGATCATTGGCTACAATCAGATGAAGGAAAGCTACCTGATATCAACCTAAGCCAGGGGTAGGCAACCTTGGCTCTTTTATGACTCGTGGACTTCAACTCCCAGAATTCCTGAGCCAGCCATGTTGAGGAGAAATGGAGAGGTTTCCATACTGAGCCGTGCTGGTTCAGGAATTCTGGGAGTTGAAGTCCACGAGTCACGAAGGGGCCAAAGTTTCCCCCATGCTGGCTCAGGAATTCTAGGAGTTGAAGTCCACGAGTCATAAAAGAGCCAAGGTTGCGTACCCCTGACCTAAGCAAGTTGTACTTCCTTTTTCTGGTTATTTGGCTATAACTTTTCATAGAACACAGTACAGATAATTGAACAAAGTTTGTTGCATTACATTCTTGATTAAATTACCTTTCCATTGGTATATAATTTTATGGTACTACTCCCCCCCCAAAAAAGTGGTGTTATTAGCCATCAAACCTCAAAAATACACTTGTCCCAAAAGGTTTCCACAATTTTGGCCACTACTGTATTATATAGGCCAGTGATGGCGAACCTTTTAGAGACCGAGTGCCCAAACTGCAACCTAAAACCCACTTATGCATCGTTGGGTGCCGGGTGGGTGTGGCCCACTGGGTGGGTGTGGCCCATTGGGTGGGCGTGGCTGCGGTGGTAACAGCAGTGGGTGGGACTAAAAAGTTCAATCAATCAATTCCAACTTTGCAAGATCTTTTTTTTTCCCCGCGAGAAGTTGAAATTGACTGATTGAACCTTTTTTTTTTTGTACACGGTGGCGGAAGCCTAAAGCGAAAAGGTTTTATAAAACCCAGTTGAAGGCCTAGGACTGGGGCGAGGGCGCGCGTGCCCACAGAGAGGGCTCTGAGTGCCGCCTCTGGCACCCGTGCCATAGGTTCGCCATCACTGATATAGGCCATCAATCTGAGAAAGCTTAATTGCAGCAGCGATGTAATCCTATTAAGCAGTTTAGATGACACTAAAAAAAGGCAACGGAGGGAAAAGGTCACAGAGAAGAGGAGGCAGTGGGTCAGCCATTCAGTAACTGAGTTTCAACGTGCATGGGATAAACACATGCTCATCGTCCAAGAGAAAATGAAAATAAAAAAAATAAAATTCAGGTCGTCCTGGACTTACAACGGTTTATTTAGTGACCGTTTGGAGTTACAACGTCACTGAAAATAGTGACCTATGACTTACAACCATCGCAGCACCCCCATAGGTACGTGATCAAAATTCAGATGCTGGGCAACAGAATAGAATAGAATAGAATAGAATAGAATAGAATAGAATAGAATAGAATAGAATAGAATAGAATAGAATAGAAACAGGAAGAATAGAATAGAATAGAAACAGGAAGAATAGAATAGAATAGAATAGAAACAGGAAGAATAGAATAGAATAGAATAATGAAAGAATAGAATAGAATAGAATAGAATAGAATAGAATAGAATAGAGCTGGAAGGGACCTTGGAGGTCTTCTAGTCCAGCCCCCTGCTCAAGTAGGAGAACCTATACAGTGTCAGGCAGGTGATTGTCTAGCCTCTTCTTAAAAATCTCCAGTGATGGAGCGCCCACGATTTCTGGTGGCAAGCTGTTCCACTAGTTAATTATCCTCACTGTCAGGAAATTTCTCCTTAATTCCAGGTTGCTTCTCTCTTTGATCAGCTTCCAACTATTGTTTCTCATCCTTCCCTCTGGTGCTCTGGTGAAGAGGCAGGATTTGGGTATGGCTTGTCTAGAGAAAAGAAGGACCAGGGGTGATATGATAGAGTCTTCCAATATTTGAGGGGCTGCCACATATAAGAGGGGGGGTCAACCTTTTCTCCAAAGCACCAGAAGGCAGGACAAGAAGCAACGGATGGAAACTGACCAAAGAGAGAAGAAAGTTAAAACTAAGCGGAAATTTCCTGACAGTGAGAACAGTTAACCAGTGGAAAGACTTGCCTCCAGAAGTTGTGGGTGCTCCATCACTGGAAATTTTAAAGAAAAGACTGGACAGCCACCTGCTTGAAATGTATAGAGTCTCTTGCTTGAGCAGGGGGTTGGACTGGAAGATCTCCAAGGTCCCTTTCAGCTCTATTCGGATTAATTGAGGTGGTTGTCAAATGCCCATAAAACGATCACATAACTATGGGGGAGATGCAGCATCATAACTTTGACAATAGGTCATAAGTAGCTTTTTGGGGGAGGGGGGGTGTCGTAATTTCAAACAGTTGCTAAACAATCAGTTGTAAGTCTAAGTCTACTTGTAAAAACAAGCTTTGTTCTGGGTTTCTGCAGAAGAGACTCTTCCAGACGGCCCAGGGGTGCTGTGCGTACTTCAGAGCTGTGATATTTTAAGAAAATATGTTATTTTTACCATTTATGTTGGTGGCTTTTCACACTTAAGCAACATGTTTTCCAATATAAGATCCTTGCTGCTCTGGAAACTCTAGCAAGCTTACCTTTGCTACGCTGCAAGTAATCCTCAACTTACGACCGTAATCAAGCCCAAAATTTCTATTGCTAAGCGGGATAATTGTTAAGCGAGTTTTGCCCCCATTTTATGACCTTTCTTGACACAGTTGTTAAGCAAATCGCTGCTGTGGTTACTCAGGGGTAGGCAACCTTGGCTCTTTTATGACTCGTGGACTTCAACTCCCAGAATTCCTGAGCCAGCCATGCTGAGAGGAAAGGGAGAGGTTTCCATGCTGAGCCATGCCGGCTCAGGAATTCTGGGAGTTGAAGTCCACGAGTCATAAAAGAGCCCAGGTTGCCTAGATTGAGGAAGAGTAATTTAGACTCGGTACAGAAACCCAGATTAAACTAGCCTAAATAAATGGCTACAGGTCGTCCTCGACGTACGACCATAATTTGAGCCCAACACTTCTGTTGTTAAGTGAGACATTTCTTAAGTGGGGTTTGCCCCATTTTACGACTTTACTTGCCACAGTGGTTAAGTCAAGGGTCTTCAAACTTGGCTCTTTTATGACTCGTGGACTTCAACTCCCAGAATTCCTCAGCCAGCCATGCTGAGGAGAAATGGAGAGGTTTCCATGCTGAGCCATGCTGGCTCAGGAATTCTGGGAGTTGAAGTCCACGAGTCATAAAAGAGCCAAGGTTGCCTACCCCCGGGTTAGGTTAAGTGAATCTGGCTTCCCCATTGACTTTGCTTGGCAGAAGGTCGCCAAAGGGGATCACATGACCCCAGGACACTTGAACTGTCGTAAGTACACGCCAGTTGCCGAGCATCTGAATTTTAATTACTTGACCACAGGGATGTTGCAATGGGTCGTAAGTGTGAAAAACGGTGCTAAGTCACTTTTTTCAGTGCCTGTTGTAACTTTGAATGGTTATTAAACCAATGGTTGTAAATCGGGGACTACGGGTATAACAATCCCATGGGGTCTTGGGGCAAAAACTGGCAAATAAGAACTTGCTATTTTAAGGAGTCCTTCTCCATCCTTCTCTTTGGAGCACCTAAAATAAAAACCAATGCTTAGCATTACAGCAAGGCCCTAGAGTTTCGCTACAATATTCATTCATTATTCAGTTCAAATATTTATAGCGTGCCCTAGATCGATACATCTCAGGGCGAGGTGCAATCAATAGGGAATAAAAGCAGAACAGGATAAAAAGCAACCTTGCTCACACACACACAAAAAATACATCAAACTTTCTTAATTCGAGAACCATCCAGATGGGCTGGTCTTCAACCCCCGGATGGAGAGAAGATGGTGGGATCAGATATTTTCATTGAAACAACAAAATTAGTGTCGTGATGTAAGTGTGCCGCTCCTCTAGGTGTGACATCGCAACACGCACACAAAGAGTAGCAGAATTTATTGTGAGACCTTTGTGCCATCCTTGACAGGATGTTGAGAATTGGAGAAGAAAGAATGTGTTAGATTATTTTTTTCCAAACCTGGCAACTTTTAAGATGTGTGGACTTCAACTCCCAGAATTCCCCAGCCAACATGTGTGGACTTCAACTCCCAAAACTTTCCATGGTTGGCTGGGGAATTCTGGAAGTTGAAATCCACACATCTTAAAGTTGCCAAGTTTGAAAACACTGTGTTAGATCAAATGGCGCAGTTCCTGACAGTTAGAACAATTAACCAGTGGAACAACCTGCCTCCAGAAGCGGTGAATGCTCCAACACTGGAGGTTTTTAAGAAGAGACTGGACAGCCATTTGTCCAAAATGGTATAGGGTTTCCTGCCTGAGCAGGGGGTTGGACTAGATGACCTCCAAGGTACCTTCCAACTTTATTATTATTATTATCTTGGACTGAAGACATGTGTGCAATCTCTATGCACAGATTAGTTCAGTCTAGAATGAATAAACTGTGATTCCTGTTTGGGGTTCCTGTCAGGAATCTAGTGGTGATTTCATGAGGTAATTCAATTCAGCCCAGACTTATCTGAAATAATAATCTCTTTTGAACAAGCATGCCCATCTAAAGCCCTAGTCATCCTTTAATTACCTCTTGGTAGAAATACCAGCTTCTCTGCCATGCCTCTGATCTCAAATATGTTTTAATATCCTGATTTTTTTTTTTAAAAAAAGGATCCAAACAGATATCAGGCAATGAACGGAATCAGGAAATGGAAATTGATGTATGAACAGGTCAGATCAGCACATCTAAAGAAAAAAAGGAACAGAGAACCATTGTCTGAGTTAAAAGACAGCAATTTCTAAATGAACGTTAGAAAAAAGTCCCCCAAAAGAATATCCCATTAGCCATTTGGTTTGTTTTCATATTAATCTACTATAAAGGTACGGGTGACACGATAGCAGTATTCCAGTATTTGAGGGGCTGCCACAAAGAAGAGGGGGTCAACTTATTCTCCAAAGCACCTGAAGGCAGGACAAGAAACAATGGAAACGGATCACAGAGAGAAGCAATATGGAATTAAGGAAAAACTTCCTAACAGTGAGGACAATTAACCAGTGGAACAGCTTGCCACCAGAAGTTTTGGGTGCTGCATCGAGATTTTTTAAGAAGAGACTGAACAGTCACTTGTCTGAAATGGTTTAGGGCAGGGGCAGGCAACCTTGGCTCTTTTATGACTCGTGGACTTCAACTCCCAGAATTCCTGAGCCAGCCATGCTGAGGAGAAATGGAGAGGTTTCCATGCTGACTCAGGAATTCTGGGAGTTGAAGTCCACAAGTTATAAAAGAGCCAAGGTTGCCTACCTCTGGTATAGGGTCTCCTGCTTGAGCAGGGGGTTGGAATAGAAGACCTCCAAGGTCCAGCTCGACTCTGATTGAACCCTTGCAGACAATTCAAAGTTATGACAGATCGCTTGAAAGGACTTACAATCTGGTCTCAAAATTCTGACGTCTCCGCCTGGGTGTTTAGCCAGCCATCCTGCATTATTTTATGGCCATTTGCAGTCACGTGATTGCAAATTACAACGGTTTTGCTTCCGGTTTCCAACAAACACTGACGCATAACAGTGGATTTACTTATCAGCCATGGAGTTCGCTTAACAACAGCGGCATTCGTTTAATGACCTCCGTGTTTGCTTAACAGCTGCCACCAAGTGGTCATAAAATTGGGGTTTGGATCACGTGGTGAGCCGTTTTACAACCGTCACAATTGATGACCGCAACTGTCAGACTCAATGCGAGGCCTAACTCGAGACCTACTTGTACCTTATGAATGTCTGTGGAGATTCTGAATCATCCAGCTCATAGTTGTCTCAAAACCGCTTTGTCAAAAGGCAACCAAAATGTTTTCTTCCTTCTCATCCAAGAAGCTTCATCGGGTTCTGCCAGGGATGGTGGGGGGCTATGGAGGGATTCGTTCCGAAAGGATGGAGCGGGCATTAGAAGGATCGTATTTCTTTGCAGTCATCGGGCCTTAGGAAATATGATCTTTCCTTATAGTTATCTCATACTACACATATCAACGGCAGCAAGAATGGTATTTGCCCAGCATTGGAACAATGAAAACTTGCCAACTAAAGAAGTAATAATTAAGAAAATTCTAGCGTGTGCAGAAATGGATAGATTGACTTTAAAGAGAAAAGAGAAAGGAGACTCAGTATAATTTAGAACATGGGAAATTTTTTTGCCAATGGCTGGAAAAACGAGTCAGAGAGAAAGGAACGTGATATGTAATTTTGAATCTATATTAGTAAGAAGAAGGCTATTGAGTGATGAATTAACATATTGTTTATGATAATTAACTATATTATTGTTAGTTAAATAAAAAAAGTTAAATAAAAAAGATGTTGAGACTCTAGAACAGTGATGGCGAACCTTTTAGAGACCGAGTGCCCAAACTGCAACCCAAAACCCACTTATGTATTGCCTGGTGCCGGGTGGGCCTGGCCCATTGGGTGGGCGTGGCTGCGGTGGTAACGGCAGACTGGGTGGGACTAAAAAGTTCAATCAATCAATTTATAAAACCCCGCTGAAGGCCTAGGACTGGGGCGACAGCGCGCGTGCCCACAGAGAGGACTCTGAGTGCCGCCTCTGGCACCCGTGCCACTGCTCTAGAAAGAGTACAGAGAAGAGCAACAAAGACGATTAGGGGACTGGAGGCTAAAGCATATAAGGAAAGGTTGCTGGAATTGGGTATGTCTAGTTTAATGAAGAGAAGGACGAGGGGGTCTTCCAGTACCTCGGGCTGCCCCAAAGAAGAGGGAGTCAAGCTATTCTCCAAAGCGCCTGAAGGCAGGACAAGAAGCAACAGGTGGAAACTAAGCAAGGAGAGAAGCAACCTAGAACTAAGGAGAAACTTCCTGACAGTGAGAACAATTAACCAGTGGAACAACCTGCCTCCAGAAGCGGTGAATGCTCCAACACTGGAAGTTTTTAAGAAGAGACTGGACCGCCATTTGTCCGAAATGGTGTAGGGTTTCCTGCCTGAGCAAGGGGTTGGACTCGATGACCTCCAAGGTCCCTTCCAACTTTATTATTATTATTATTATTACATCAGTTTTATTAGAAAGAAACGTGATATGTAATTTTGAATCTATATTTGTAAGAAGAAGGCTATTGAGTGATGAATTAACATATTGTTTATGATAATTAACTATATCTATTATTGTTAGTTAAATACATGTACCCAGACATTATGCTATTTGCTAAATATTGAAAATGTTATTTCGAAAAAACCCAACCCTAACCCCAACTCCAACCCCAATCCCAATCCCGACCCCACCTTATCCCTAACCCTATAAAAACTAATAAAATCTATATATAAAAAAAGAAATATGATCCTTCCAACCTCCCCTTCTAATCCATCTCTAGCCCCGCCCCCTCACCATCCTGGCAAAACCCGATGAAGCTTCTTGGATGACAAGCGAAACCTCCTCAAAGGAAAAAAAAACCCAGTCCAGTTGCCTTTTGACAAAGCGCCTTTGAAACAACCTTGTGAAGGTTTTAAGGGAAATTGAAACGCAACTCTTTAAATGCATCTCCATTCCAGATTTTGTTAATAATGCCTTTACGTTTTTTGTTGTTGTTTTGCTTAAAAGGAACACGCCTTTGAGAGCAGTCAGAAATATAAAGAAGGCAAATACATCATCGAATTAGCTCACATGATCAAAGATAACGGCTGGGATTGAGCGGCCGGGAGAAGAATGTCGACCGATCTACGCAAGCGTTCACTCTTCCGACTGAACATTTTATCTCCGAGAACGAGCAAGTGATTGGCACTCGCTGGGTCCCATGCATCCGGGGGGGGCGCTTTGTTGTCGTCCTAAGACACACTTCCTCGCACACCCCTCTGCCATCTTGACTGGCGGTCGGCTGTCCCTCTTGTCTCTTTGCTTTTCGTATCTTGTTTGTGAGTCGACCTCAAGTTAGGGTCCCCTAGTCTTCCTCTTTCACTGTTCTGGCATTGTGTTGTGTTGTGTGGGGTTTTTTGTTTTTTTTTAACAGTGACAAAAGGCAAGGAATGAACCGCAATGCCAAACCATTTCACAGCTTATGTCTCAGTAGAAACTGAAGATTGCCTTTTTGGGGGGAGCTAAAGTCAAGGTTTATGGCTCACAAGGGGGAACTCAGCGCTTTGGGTTGTGGGACGGATGAGAGAGAACGAGTAGGGTTTCTTTCTGCCCCTTTGTCCTTTGAAATCCTGACAAACCATGGCTTGAAACTCGTGGACTGTAAAAAGATATATATATATATATATATACCTCATGCCTGTCTATTTCTCTGAGTCTCAAAAAAAAATGTAGGCCTCCTAATTTTAGGCTAGCTAGTTCTGGTATTCTCAAACCAAGTATCCGTGTCTTCTTGGACTTGAGGTGTTTTTTTGTTTTTTTAATCTTGTCTTTTTGCTAAGCTTGTTGAAAAGAAAGAGGTAAGGGATGTTTTAACATCTTTGGTTTCTGGAGAGTTAGCCCACCCTAAAACTCTGCAGAGATAAGCCTGATTGCCTGGGGGGGGTGTGTGTGTGTGTTTTGTTTTTGGTTTTTTTTTGGACTGTAAATCTAGCATCACACAATTGAGGTTCCTCAAGGATGCATGGATTGTGTGTAAAGTAAAAGGGAGGCCGGGGAGAAAGGCGGGAGGCAAGCAGAACAGAGAGGTGAAGGTAAAAGGGACTCTGTGCCTACTTAACGGATGTCCAGGTCTTAGCAATGCCTGTCAAATCTTAACTATTGCTGTGGGACATCTAGACGTTGAAGTTGCAGCTTCGAAGCGTGGTTCTCGGCCTGGTTGTTTTTCAGAGCTTCTCCTCGCACAGGAGAGCAGACTTTGGCCACCACGTTGTGCAAAGGCAATATTCCAGAGGCTGAAAGTGTTCAAATTTGGGTGAACCAGTAGGACCTGGGGACCATCTCCTCTGGCTCCATCCATTCCTTCACTCCTGTTTTGGAAAGGTTGAGAAGCACGCTTTTGCTTCCCACTTCCTGCATCTCAGCCACCACCTTTCTCCTCAGTGGCCTTCCAGAGGTTCAGCTCTGGTGCTTAGCTCCTACTTTGTTGAGGATGTTCTTGCACGCGAGAGTAGGAAATTGGGTCTCTTGAGATCCTGCTTTGTGGAGGATGCTCCTTGCACCCAACAATAATAATTCGGGTGGCGTTACTAACCATAAACCCAAAAGGGCTGGTCGCTTCCACTAAAGAGCATAAACCAGACTTGGCCAAAAAGTCATTTTGCACTGAAAGAAAGCATCGTGTTCTCTGTGATTAGAAAAAAAATAAATAGAATAAATAACTTTATAACAGGGAGCAGGGCAGCCATTCCTGTCACTATCATCTCCATCTTCTCTTAACCCTCCTCCTGGCTGATCAAAAGAGGACCCAGCCGGAAGGTTGAGAGTGCATGATGTTCCTTCGTTGGATCTGAGCGTTGAGGTTCAGAAGCTTGTCGGAAAGGGATCCAGTTTCCCAGGTTGCAAAGCTGGAGAAATCCCTGACGTATGTCTCTGGGTGGCTTAAAAGCTATCTTTGCCCCACTGACCTAGCTAAGGATTTAATTGACTCTCCAGCTTTGCAGGAGATAAGTCTGAATGACGCTCTGGATGAACTGAAGCCTGGAGGTAGACTTACTCCAGGCAACACTTTTTTTCCTGGAAGTCACTCCTTTTGGGTTCAAGGAGAGCTTTGGGGTCAGAGGAGAGGCTGAAGGACCTTGGGAAAATTCTTAGGAAAATTTTAGGGCTGTGTTTCTGTTCCCCCCTCCCCAAAGTCCTCCAATTCTTCCCTGTTGCATTTTATAGGATGGGTCAATAATGGCCTGAAACTCTTCTGCCCTTTGACCCGACATGTAATACAGGGCTAATCTGAACGGCATTGACTTTAATCTCCCTCGATTGTTTCATTTTTTCCCCCTTCGTTTTCATTTGCCAAGGGGTGGAAATTGTTCTTTTTGGGAATCCTCTGGAGGGCAAAAAAAAACCAGCCCACGTTAGAGAGAGAGAGAGAGAAACATTCTGTAACTGGGAAGAGAAAAAATAAGTTCTGATTTTTTGACTGTTGTTTGGGTGTCTTTTTAGAGCCCTTTTTGGGAGGAATAATACCCAAATTAGCAGAAAAATGAGAGAGCAGGAAGATGAATTGGATGGTCCCACAGGAAGAGACTGGGTGGGTGGTCTTTATTTTGTCACTTTCATGTTACAGGAATTTAACAGTGTGCTGGTGTGTTAAGACTGACCTGACTTCCAAGACTTGTTTCCAGCTTTACGGATGGAGATTGAGGAAGAAGGGGTGGGCTTAATCATCAATCGCTACATCGGTGTTTCCCCTTTAAGACCTATGGATTTCAACTCCCAGAGTTCCCCATCAAGCATGGAGAATTCTGGGAATTGAAGTCCACGCATCTTCAACTAGCCAGGGTTAAAAAAAAAAAAAAACACTGATGCAAAGCATGGAACTTCGGGGAGGTTTCTAGTCCACATGATTGCACAGCGAAGGAATATGGAAGCAATATTTGAGAATATGGTATGGTAGGGGAAGACTTGGTGGAAAATTAAGGCGTTCTGGGTTCAAACTTTAGATCAGATATAGGACTACTTGTGTGGCTTTGAACAATTTGCTAGTTTTTCCTCAGCCAGTCCTATTTTTTAAGACAGGGGCTTCAACCTTGGCCCTTTTATGACTTGTGGACTTCAATTCCCAGAATTCCTCAGCCAGGCACACGTGCCTGGCTGAGGAATTCTGGGAGTTGAAGTCCACAAGTCATAAAAGGGCCAAGGTTGAAGACTCCTGTTTTAGGAGGATCAGAAGAGTTAAAAGAACACCCTTTGTGCAATCCCGAACTCCTTGAAAAATAGTTAAAAATAAATAAATACAAGTTTAGGTCCCAAAAGGTATTTCAGATTAAAAATTGAGAAATAGCATATAGAAGGACTAATTTGTCACAACTTCAGTAGGAATCAGACAGGAACAAATGTTGAGTTGTTTCCAGGGGCATAAGGTATCAGTTGGCTACAGCTTGGCCTAACTACAGATAACCCTAAGCTAACATTAAACCTCATCACGGTTTTGCATCCTTGAGCCTGAGGCTCTGGTAAAATCCAGAATTTCCAGGGCTCGTTATCAATTGTTCAAGAAAAGTATGGCAGAAAAATATCCCCAAATTGCAGAACAAGATGCCGGTCCCTTTGGTTATTATGATTTGGAGCAGTGGGAAACCAACATCAGGCACAATTGTGTTTTTGGGATGGACACCAATACCACAGCCTAGCTCTTAAACCTTAATACTTGATCTTCCTTATCTGGATAGGGCAGTGTTCCTCACTATCGCTGCAACTTTTAAGGTGGGTGGACTTCAACTCCCAGAATTCCGCAACCGGAGCCGGCTGGGAAATTTGGGGAGTTGAAGTCCACCCCTCTTAAAAGTGGCTGAGATTGCGAAACACTGGGATAGAGGATAATCCTTAAAAATGGTAGTATCCTTCAGCTTCTGAGATGGTGCGGTGGACCTCTTATCTACGATGGTGATTTTGGTGCACCGTGTCCGGTTATGTTTTGGAGCAAGTGAACGTTGCTTATTTATTGGAGGGAAAAGGTGAGATTTCTTCACCAGGACCGTGATGGTCGTAGCTTCCAAAAATGGTGCTCAGCCATCTAAGGTTCCTCTCTCAGTCAAGACATCTCCATGGGTGCAGACCCAACGTATCAACAGTAAGTCATACAGGTCAGCCCAGGGTATTAATTTGTAAGCCAGCTTTCATAAGAGGAGCCATTCAGGCCTTTGGGAAGTTGGACGCTTCTAGACTTCAGTTCTAGATCACCCTTCAGTTCAGGTAGAGGAGAGGGCGAGTTCTTGTCAATCCTTGCCCTAAAGCCAGCTGGGTGGAAACTGAGGCCTACATTCTCCACTGGTGACGGGATGGTGTTGTTTGCCATTCCTGAGGTGGCCAGCTAGTGAAGAGGAACGAAGGCAGTTTGGGTGGCATACAACGATATGTCTTCTGATCAAACGTGCTTCTGATTGAGGCCCCCTTTTTGCATGCTAACAATTAGGATCAATAGATTAAAAATCCTTGAGTCAATAGATTCAAAACCTTCGTAGCGGAGAGTGCATTGAAAATATAGTCACCCCAATCATCTTTTCTTTTCCCTTTCAATCCGTGTTTTTCAAACTTGGAATCTTTAAGACAGGGGTCTTCAAACGTGGCCCTTTTACGACTGGTGGACTTCAACTCCCAGAATTCCTCAGCCAGCGTGCCTGGCTGAGGAATTCTGGGAGTTGAAGTCCACAAGCAGGGGTCTTCCAACTTGGCCCTTTTACGACTTGTGGACTTCAACTCCCAGAATTCCTCAGCCAGGCACACGTGCCTGGCTGAGGAATTCTGGGAGTTCAAGTCCACAAGTCGTAAAAGGGCCAAGTTGGAAGACCACTGCTTTAAGAGGAGTGGATTTCAACTCCCAGAATTCCTCAAGCTGGCTGCGGAATTCTGGGAGTTGGAGTCCACGCCTCTTAAAATGGCCAAAGCTGAAAAACCCTGCTTTCAATGGAGGCGTGGGCACTCTGGGAAGCTTTAATTAATTCCTTTCTTAGCCCCTCCTGTGTTTTTTTTTTTTTCCTCTCAGGGCTTGCAGCTCGCTGTGTAAAAACTCTTTTTTTTTTTTTTAAATTTCCAGGCCAATGCAAGGGACTGTTATTTAT